TGGACATTGGCCTTAACATCGTGGACACTGGGTATAAGGAAATGCTGGAGCGATTCTGCACTTTTTACTCCTAGAACTGTCTCCTAGAATTGATGAAAACATTTGTGTAATGTACAAATTATGTGGCTTTTGTGTGTACAGACCGACAAAAAATCTACTCACTTGAATAAGTTATAGGTTAGATAACCTCCCAGACAGTACAGATCTCCTGAAGACGTTTTAAAGATATCCTCTGGACGTCCTTATGTCCTAAGAATGTTCCCAGGATCATCCCAGGACATCCATAGGATATCGTGTGCTGTCTGGGCTATAACTTATTCGAGCGAATAGATTCCTTGTTAGGCTTCTAAACTTAGTTTCAATGATACCATGCTGTTCTCTGATTCAATCCGATTAGTGGAACACTGCCGGTCTGTACACAAAGCCACATACTTTATATGTTTGTATAAGTTACCTAACCTATAACTTATTCCAGCGAATAGATTTTTTGTTAGGCTTCTAAACTTAATTTCGATGATACTATGCTGTTCTCTGATTCAGTCTGACTAGTGGAACGCCGTCTGTACACAAAAGCCAAACAATTTGTATATCACAAATATCTTCATGAACTGACAGTTCTAGATGTAAAAAGTGCAAAAGGTACAGACTCACTCTAGCATCCCCTTAAAGAAAGGTTGCAATTATTTCTCGACGCCGTGAAGCTGGAAACGTGCGAGAAAACTTAATTCAACCAGTCGAAATTTTCAGAGTTGCTTAAGTTTCAAAATGGCTGCTTACATTCTCGAGTGTCATCGGTTAAGGCCCGAACACACGGAAAAACTTAAGCAATAAAACTTAAGACTTAAGCATTTCAACCAATCGAAATTTTCAGCATTGCTTAAGTTTCAAAATGGCTGCTTACGTTCTCTACAGTCATTGGTCATTCCCTTAAGTATGAAGTTTTACTTCGCGTGTTTAGGCCTTCAGTTCTCTTAAGTCTTAAGTTTTACTGCTTAAGTTTTTTCGTGTTGAAAGCACGGAAGGAGGCAGGAGCGGCGCTTTCGTACGCTTGGTGCATCGTCTCTCGGCAGCGCAAACGTCTATCCCTTCATCTCTTTCTCCAAGCCGTTCCACTACGCTTCTTTCCGTGCGGTTTCTTTCGCGCCGTGAGAATGCACCAGATGCCGGCGGTGGCCGACGGGGCAACGCGGGCGGGCGCGCGACTTGCTGCGTCGAGGTCGCGTGCGAGTAATTGTCCCGATTACCTTTGCTTATTGTTGCATTATGATGTAGGAAAAGTGCTCTTAATTAAGCGATGCGTTGCCTAATTGATTTCTCCCGGCGGCCGCGACGTGTCCGGTCGCGGCTGCCAAACGTGACGATCGCGAGAAACCGCGTGGCATCGCAGACGTTGAAGTCTAATGACCTGGACAACTGTTCGAGCCAAGTGTGCGCCTCTCGAAAAATCTGTTTCTTAAATTGCTTATAGTAATTACAGGAGCTATGTGCGCGGCTGTCGTCCCGCGATGACAGCAATGGCTAGGAAATTCCCGTAAGGTCGACGACAAACCGCATTGCCGTGAGAAAAATTACTTCTCGAGAAACTAAGTCTCTCGAAGAGTCTTTATTTTTTAAATTGCTATTTTTAAAAATCATATTTTTAATCCTGGTTGTGCTTTCAGCCAAATGAGTTTACCGATATTCTCGATAACCATAACGTCTCTTTTGATGTCGGCTTTTTTTCTACAAACTTTTCCAAGCATTTTATTCTACATACACAGGGTGTACTAAAAAATCATAAATTCTTTAGAAAGTTTCAAGACGAAAATTCTAATACAAAAATGTCGAGGCTATAATAGTTTTTAAATAATAAGCGATTATATTGATAGGTCCGAGATTTCGCGCGCTCAGGTACGACGACATGACAAGTGATAAAAGTGTTCCTACGAATGTCGCCCTTTTTAGCATAGTAACAACCTTCGTGGCAATTAATATTGATCGACTACTTCGACAGCTACAACACTTTGAAGTTACAAAATGTTGCAAATTTTTACTTGAATTAAATGAAAAGGGCGACATTCATAGGAACCCTTTTATCACTCGTCATGTTGCCGTGCCTGAGCGTGCGAATCTCAGGCCTGTCATTTGTGAAATATAATCGCTTATTATTTAAAAACTATTATAGCCTCGACATTTTTGTATTAGAATTTTCCTCTTGAAATTTTCTAAAGGATCTGTGCTTAAACGGTGGTTTTAGTACAACCTGTGTATATATGGAAAGAGTATTTCGTTGCTAGAAATGTAACGTTTCTAACGAGCTTCGTGTTCGGCCGTCGTTATCAGTGACAGTACTGTCGCGTTCGCGACGAACCAAAATACAGATTTATACGCTGATCCATCTCTAAATTGTCGGTCGGCGTTGGACCACCGGCACGAATTTTGCATTCCGTTGTAATTACCAATCCGAGCCGCGTAATCTCGCCTACGTGGACATCGTGACGCTCGTACCGGATGACTATACTCGGTGATATCCGTTATTTTTGTAGCGACGCGCGTATCTATTATGCGCGGAGCGAGAGAGAGATCGATCGAGACACGACGGGGTGACGTCGTATCACGCATCCTCCAGAGCATCCTCTTTCGTCGCTTCCAGGAAAAGCGCCACGTACGCCCGCGTTATCCTCGCGAATATCGGGCCCGGCGAAGGTATGTGCATAATTCCGCGCATTCGTGCTTTCGTAACTGATTTCGTAAAGAGGCAACGCACCGAGCACGTGCGTGCCCGAGGAAAAAACATGACCGGAGGAGACGATCCGAATCTCGCCCGTTATCTGTGACGAACTAGGCGAGTTGTTTACTTCACGGGATATAACAAAACACATTGCTGTTACGACGCATCGAGATTATTCGTTTAACGCCTCCTGGATTTTTGCATCTTTGATTTTTTTACACGCATTTCTCTTATCATTCGTACCCTCCATCGCACCACCCAAGGAGAAATGAAAAGTCAAGATGACGTCAATTTGATGTCATATTGGCCAAAATATGATATAAATGTGGTCAATATGACATCAAATTGACACCATCTTAATTTTCATTCCATGGACATATATCTCAATCATTGATAAACATTGAAATAGTTATTAAATTTTCTCTTGAATATCTCAAAGAGTATTAGGCAAATCAAAAAATGTTTCCGACGATCCGAATCTCGCTATTAATTAGTAGAATAAGATAGTATAATAAACAATAGGGGGTTCCATTTAAAAAATTAAAGGTGACCTTCACGTGACCTTCAAATGACTATCCAAGGTCAAGTCAATGGCACCACCTTATATCCCCCTTCGAACCAAACAACTTTTGTTTGAAACGTTTTTCCGTATCTTTCATATTTTTGGAGGTATTTGCGCGGATCATTTAAAATGAGACACCCTGTATATTGAACACTGAAATAATTAATTTCCAGCCTCATTTTCATTATTACGATACCTCATTGCATAACAAAAATGGATATCAAAATAAACCGTATACGAGCACCAAATTTTTGTCAAGATGAAAAATTAGTACTGGTATCTTTAATAAAAAAATACAAATTGATAATGGAAATTAAGCGGACTGATGCTGTGAGTGTTAGAGGCAAAGAAGAGGCTTGTCAAAATCTAACCTTGTAAATAGCTTACAGAATTTTGTTTCAGTGGTTGGGCATCACTACTTAACAACTAGTTAAGCTAAACTGGCAACTGTCGAACTGGACCTTAGCTTATCTTTTTCGATTCTCTAGAATGTCCCAGCAAGGCCAAATGACACCCACTAATGTCCAAAAAATGCCTAGTAATGGCCGAAATCTGTACACCACAATGCCCTCAACGGTTTACCCCTCGGGAAGTTCCATGCATCGATATTCGCAATGTCGACGAGAGTAATAAAATGCAATTCTATTTCTTGTGTGCAGCCAAAAGAGGCAGCTGCAGCAGCAACAACAACAGCAGCCGCAGCCGCAGCCGCAGCCGCAGTCACAGCTACAGCAGCAACTACAGCAGCAGCAGCAGCAACAGCAGCAGCAACACGCCTCCTGGCACAGGACTACTCTCGCCTCTTGACTACCGTGACCTTGACCGTGACTGCGAGTCCAGCGATTCTGAAAGGCTGCAGGAGGAAAGAAAGGAACCCGCGAGGAACGTCGCGACGCGACTTCTTACCGCGGTTTCGGCTGCCGAAGGCCGCTAGTACGCGCGTTGCAGCGAGGCGGAGAAATGCGGATGAAGAAACGCACGTCGGCCGACGCGGCGGCGAGGACTTTCGCGGAACGACCGCCGCTCGACACCCGCAGAAGCGTGCCCTTCCCCTTCGCGGTGGTGTAGTCGGAGCGGTCGAATCGATTCCGTTCGTACATTTTATTTTAACCCGACGTTAGTCGCACGTTTATTCACAACGTCGCGATCGAAATTGTTGTGCGTGCCCGCATAAATGATCGTACTCACGGAGACTAATAACGACAATCTCAGAATTTGTATCTCATCAAGAACAGTGTGAAATGGCTTTTGTATCTAGGACCATACCTAAAGCTACGACAATTTTTTCACGCATTAGCAAGATAATGACGAATTAGATACATATACACATATATGAGCGAGACTGACGGCGTCGTTAAAAGATAAATTACGACACGCAATCTTAGTAAACTCGATAAACATTCGTAAATCATATAAAGGCGTAAATCATGTGATAAAATCATATGCGAGTGTAGGCGATAACCAATTAATAGAGTAGATTAGAGGTAATATATTTTGACTGAGGAACTCGGCAAGCTTCTTAGCGAGTTCGAGTCGAAGATATATTTTTCTGTTGGACTTTTTGTACTGACAAAAAGATGTATTCTCATATCCGTGCAGAACTAATGCCAAGCCGTACTAGGACCAGTAAAGAAACCAAATGTGTGCACATCAAACGCGTGCGAGTGTGAAGAACTAATTATAATAAGGTTGCAAATCAGAACACCGGATACGCAATTAATTTATCAAGATACGCAATCGCAGCGGAAACGAAAAAAAAAGGTATCTCGTTGATGTGGACTGGTGATGTGATGTTTTTTGTAAGACTACACCACTGCTTCTACGGTATAAGCTCCGCGGTTTTCTCTCTCAGCGTCACAATCCCGTAAAGAGACACAAGTGCAATGACATGCGAACGCCGTGATGAGGCTTCTTTATTTCGTATACGTTGTCCGTTTCAATAGCAAAGCTAAAGTTTATTACTAATTATTTAGATGAGTTTTTGAAACGAAACTAACGCGCGTCATTTTATTTCTCGGCAAAGTAGAGATTGGATTGTTAGTGAGTTTTAGCGAATCTCCCTAAGAAAGGATCGATAATCGAATTTGTTCATTAACAGAGTTTTATATTTAAAGTTGTATTTGATCGTTTTGTATTACTTAGTGCAATTTCTTTCCCCCTAAGCTAATTGTTATCGTCCCCGGTTGTTACTTTGTACAGTCTGTTATCGACTTAACGCTAGTGTACTATGATATTCGCGTAATATTTTCCATTTTTGCGCGTCACGGCGATCGTAACTAGTCTCCCCGATCTCTCGGCATGGTAGAAATTAGGTGCGTCACGATCAAATATTTATATCCACGACTTACGAGTCGAGTTTACACAAGCAGCGATTACTTTCCATCTGCGCAATTAACGACGACGCGTCGTTTCAAGCTCTCCGCGCTCCTACAGTCTGATTCTTCGCGTTCAATTTCCATTCGAAAAATCCCATTGCTCCGCGTTGTGTCAGATTTTACGCACCGCATGTTAAGCGACAAATGTGCTATTCTATCGACGCGGTTCCCCATTTCGCGGAGAATTACATTGGCACGGATTCATTAATTTTCGTCGACGGTCGTTTTTGTTTCTGTTTGCCAATTTCATTTGCAAATATTCACATTACATCTCCGAAAGAGAAAAGAAGTCTTAATTACTTACGGACAATGTTTATTTAAGCATAGAACAAATACTACGCGCGCTTTTGCGTAAAATACCTCGCACGATATCGCGGCGAAATTTACGATTTCAGAAATTGGTCACATATGCGCACATCGACGGAATTTGCCCCGGAGATAAATCTTGGAAACCTCGAACGATTATTTTACTTGACATTTTTCTCTTCTTTCGTAATTTCTTTACGTATGGCGTGCGATAAACGTGGCGATAGTGAAAATAATTATTTCAAATCGTCCAGTTCCGGTTAGAAATATATTGCGGATAATTACCGAGCATTGAACTGGCGGCGACTTTTAGCTCACTTATCGTTTGTACGCGCGGCTATGTCCGTTGAGGAACATTTCAGAGACCCAGTAATGTGTCAGAGACGCCATTCCGAAAATAGTCACGCTTTAATATTCCAACGGTCATTTATTGCGTAAACGCGCAGTCCTTATCTAATACCGTTGCTCGTATTATGGAACGTAATTCGATAGGATGGAAGGCTGTTGCCGGTGTAAACTCGGCGATCACATCGGTAGATTGAGCGCGTTGATCCTTTGCAAATCCGACAGGTGTACCGTACAACGATCCATCCTTCGCCAAAAAGGTGTCAAAATGATGCTCGACAGACCGCTTAATTTTTATATGTCACGTATATATGTACCTTATATGTATGTATTTTCCGTATTACGTCAGAACGTCCAGAAGGACGAAGAGTGGTGGCGCGCGGACCGAAGGGCGGAAGGAGGGAATTAAATCGGGAGAGCGAAGTAGAGAGCGCGAGGTACATGACGAGAACAGGTGCTATTCGGTAGTTAAAAAAAAAAGCGAACGGGGAAACGAAGGATGGCGACGGGAGCGTATAGATAGTCCATTTATATATAGGTAGGGAAAAAAAAGATATTTTATACGCGATGTACGTGCCGTACACGCGTGCGCCCGAGAAGACGACGCGGCCCACGTGCGTGTTGAACGCACGGATGCACGACGGGATATCGCCGCGCGTGAGATACCGATCGCTCCGTTTCATCGGAGACGAAATCCGATACTTGGCACCGGACACGTGACGAGGAGAATTTCGCCGCGGTGACTCGCCGCGCGCACTTGGCGGCAGTTATCATGCTGGATTTATTCGAGTCGTCGTCCCCGATGTGAATTATAGCGATTAGGGCCTGAGCGGGAAGATTGTAATCGTTTACGATTCCGTCGTAAGACGTAAGTCAAGGCACAAAGAATTGTCGCAGACGCGTGTCGCCACGCGACGCAATGGACGCGACAGTTCTTCGTCGCAAACGGTTACGACAATCTTTCTGTTCGGGCCATTAGGCTGGGAATGATCCGGTTTCGACCAATGTTGTTTAACTTTAAGCTTATTGTTGGCTTCATTCGTTCCTCGTCTCTTTCCAACTGTTACTCTAGAAAGAGACAGACGTGAATTAAACCGAGATCAAAGTTAAGCGACGTTTGGGGAAACCGGGCCCAAGGTCGGGTCTCACCAACGTTGTTTAACTTTAAGCTTAGCTTAATTCGTTCTTTGTCTCTTTCCAACTGTTACTCTAGAAAGAGACAAACATGAATTAAACCGAGATCAAAGTTAAGCGACGTTTGGCGAGACCGGGCCTTAAGCGTTTCATTCTCTGCCATCACCTTTATGCCTGTTTCTACCAATGCGGATTAACTTTAATCTCGGTTTATAATTTACTTTCCATCTTTTCCCAACTCTCCGAACTGAAAAGAGACGAAAAGAAAGTTACACCGAGATCAAACTTAATCCGCATTGGTAGAAACATGGACATTAGTCGCCTAAGGCCCGGTTTCACCAAACGTCGCTTAACTTAATTCACGTTTGTCTCCTTCTAAAGTAACAGTTGGAAAGAAACAAAGCACGAATGAAGCTAAGCTTAAAGTTAAGCGACGTTGGTGCAACCAGGCCTAAATTCCGCAGTCCCACCCCGTGAAATGCGTATCCCGAGACATTGCGTTTTCAAACCTCGGAGCTAGTTTGTATCACGTTTACGTCGTGGCGGAAATATCGTATGTCAGATAAGTAAAGCGTGGCCAGAAACTTCCAAATTCTGTGCCGGATATTTCGCGATGTTCTCTCGTTCGCCAAACCACGTGACTTCTCGAAGACCTGACGTAGTAACGTCGCGAGAATATCAGTACGCACGACCTGCCGATGATAGGAACTGCTCCGGGGGCATCGAGCCGCGTCTCAGCGCCGAAACGAAACGCGTCGTCCGGTTTCTCTGACAACGCGGTGTGGGATACACGGTCGTGCGAAGAGAATTCTCTTCCTCCAGCTGCATATCCCGTAGCGCTACGATCAGAGAGCGATTACGATCGGAGAGAATTGTCAATCGTTTCATTAGGCGAGCCAAGTATAACTAAGCATTGAATTAATTACACGTGCGTGCGCGCTCCCACACACATACTCATACAGAGAAAGAGAGAGGGAGAGAGAGAGGGAGACCTTCCTTTTTATATTTACATCACGACCGCGGCTGACGGTACAGAGGAGACATATTAACCATCACGGATTAATCGGAATGAGCTAAAGTACTGCTAACAGCAGCTGTTTGTGCGAGGTAGAAACGAATGCAATTTCGCATCCAATTTGCGTCCACGGTCGCAGATAACGCCGCGGAGGCGATCGCCCGGCGCGGCCATCGGCCGTTCCAATTCCGACGGAAATGCACGGCGGTTATTAGCGTGTCCGCGGCGACCCCGTTTAGAAGCCGCAATTTTAACACACCTACAGCGGGGCCGCCGACGACGGCGACGACAGACCGCGTGGCACACTATACTGCGGTTAAAAACAAAGACAACGACCGGCTCTGTCCCCGTTTCGCCATCGGTAAGGCGATACGCCGCGCCGCCGAGGACTAGTCCGGGCGAGAAACCGAGTAGCGAAAAATCACTCGGAGCGCGACGCGAGTCGGCTGCGGTTACTCCCTTACCTCGCTCCCAATTCGAGAGGAAGTTTTAATTGCACAGAAGCCTGGGGTCAAGGCTGACTTAATATCAAATCCGATTATATTAACTCGTAACCGACACGCGAAACGACCGTACTGGACGGAAGGTGCTGGGCTCGTACGGCGCTCTTCGTCCTCTTCGAACGAATTCTCAACGAGTCTTCTTTCGGCGGAGAAAGAAACATTGTTTCTCTTACGTTCGGAAAATTTGTAGATTCAGAACCGACTGTTCCGATCGTCGGGCAACTTTTTACCCTTCGGTTAACATCGTCTCTTTCCAAGGGGAAACAATTGGAAAGAGATAAAGGCCCTTATTCCGCATCCTCTTTTATCGGTGAAAGCCGAAGATCCTTCAGCCAATGAGAATCTCTCAAGACCAGTTTTAGTGGCATCTTTTAGCGATAAAAGAGAATTCGGAATATGGACCGCAGGATGTTAAAGGGTAAAAAGTTCGCCGACGTTGGAACAACCGGCCCTTAAGGCCGAATCAGACCAGCGATTGCTGACTCGGATTCGATTGGGGTTGGCGATTTAACGATTGTCTTCTAGCCGATTAAATCGCTGGCTGCTTCGCTCTCATTGACCGAAGGACAATCGCCAATTCCAATTCAATCCGAGTCAACAATTGCTGGGCCTATTCGATCTTTAGAGTCTCCGCGAGTGTCGGTCGCGGGCGGAAACGACGGCGTGCGCTTTAAATGTTACGTCCTGGCGACTTACGCTTCGATTATTGTTCTCTCCGCGTTCGAATCCAGACGGTGCTAACGACAGATCGCGCGCCGCGACTTGGACCAGAGTCGATTCCTCGATTTTTGCAAGGATCATCTCGTTACCTGCGACCCGTGGCGTGCGACATTGGCCGCGTTCAGCGGAAAAAGTTGCTCCCCGACTGTTGTAAAAATCTTGAATCTGATCAGCGTATGTGCCTGTAATCGAGGCAGAATCTAAGAGCATCCTCCAATCCGTATTCACGAATTTTACAACCGCCGCAATGTAGCTTCTCCCGCTGACCATTTGATCGTCATCACCTTCACTAGCGCGCGCGGAATGTATAAATTTGTATTTGTTTGTTTATTTATTGTTAGGTAGAGAGCGGATGTGACGCGAGTTCCCGCGGCTAGGCAGACGTCACCGACTTTAGACGATGGAGACCCTGCGACTGTTTAGCCTCTAGATTTTATTAGCGACGTAAAAATGACTAAAATATTATTTTGTTGATATATACATATTATATATATAAATATATATATATAATTACTATTGACTATGAATTACGAATAATCTGTAAATATACGAGAACACCGCAGTGTCTCTCCTATAAAATTGTCTCGAGAGTTATCCTTCCTCGTCCCGAGACGTTCTTCCGAGGCGATTTTTCGCGAGCGCACCTTAAAACTAACAATAAGTCCTCAGTTAGCGGGTTTATTGCCGCATCAGCCGCAGAGGCGACGATAATTGGAGTGTTTATCGCTGCCACTTACCTTGATCCGTCGCCACTTCCCGCGTTTTTTTTTCTGTTGCCGATCTCCGTAAAGATAATATGCGTCCGATGCTTCTTGCAACTCGGGGCAATCATGTCCGACGATCGCTGCGACGTTTCTTCACACCCGCGGGCTAATCCAGCCATCCGCTTCTTAAGAGAATCTCGAGATTCAGGACGATTAAATTAGAGTTACAATTCAAGCTCCGATTCACCGGCGAACTTGCGAAATATACGCGTTGAAGGCACGGCGAGAACGACGGTGCCGCAGCGCCATAGAGTACCCAGTGAGAAATGATTCGTCGATCGACTGGGTATGTTTACATGGCACCCTTGGGCCTGGTTTCACCAACGTCGATTAAGGGGATGCCTGGGGCTCGCGATTCTTGAATTCGCTCGAAGGGGAAACGCGTGCGAAAATTCTGCTCAGAAAAGTTGCAAGTCGATTGGTTAAAAGCCATGCGGATAGCCAATCAATTTGCATCTTTTCTGTAAAGGCCTGTGTCCACGATGCTAGAACTTGATCCAAGTTCTAGTTCCGAGAAATGTATACCTAATCAACTTGCAGCTTTTATGGAATAGCTGCGAGTTGATTGGCTACACGTTTCTCGGAACAAGAACTTGGTCCAAGTTCTAGTTCCGGGAAATGTGTGGCCAATCAACTTACAGCTTTTATGGAATAGCTGCAAGTTGATTGGTCACACATTTCTCGAAACTAGATCTTGGACCAAGTTCTAGCATCGTCGACACAGACCTTTAAGCCTTGTGTCCACGATCCAAGAGAACCTGGACACAGTTCTTGGATCGTGGACACAAGGCTTTAGAGCAGTATTTTCGCATACGTTTCTCCTACGAATGAATTCAAGAATCGAACCCCTGGAGTGATTCTACACTTCTGGCACCTTTCGCTCCTAGGCCGGTATTCACAGTTGATTCTTATTTCAAAATCATCTTAAGTGTTGTCTTAAGAGATTAATACGGCTCTGTGATTGGTTAAAAACACATTAAGAGTTTACTTAAGATGATCTCAAATATATAAGAATGGACTATGAATACCGACCCTAGAACTGTCAATTCGTGATAACATTTGTGTAATATACAAATTATGTAGCTTTTGTGTACAGATTGATAGTGTCCCACTAATCGGACTAAATCACGGAACAGCATGGTGTCATTGAAATGAAGTTTAGAAGCCTAACAAAAAATCTATTCACTCGAATATGTTACAGGTTCCCGAACCAATTCGAGTGAAGAAAAGCTCCTAAACTTAATTTCAATGATACCATGCTGTTCTTTCACTTAAACTGAATAGCGGGACACTGTCGGTCCGTACACAAAAGCCACATAATTTGTATGTTACACAAATGCTTTTGCGAATTGACAGTTATAGGAGCAAGAGGTGCCAAAAGTGCAGAATTACTCCAGTATCCCCTTAACTTTAAGCTTAGCTTAATTCATTCCTTGTCTCTTTTCAATTTTACTTTAGAAGGAGACAAACGTGAACTAAACTAATTAGGCCCGGTTTCACCAAACGTCGCTTAACGTTAATCTTATAGCGAATTCGGTTGGTTGCACTAGCGCACTGAGTGCACACTAAACCTTGTTTACAGTCAATTCTCATATTTAAAGATAATCTTAAATACCTCTTGCAATATTTCTTATCCAGAAAAATATAGCCTGTACAACGTTTACACGGATAATTGTTTAACTAAATACTCTTTGAACATGTATTTAAGACAAAGTTAAATATAAGAACTGATTATAAACAAGCCTTAAGTGTGCACTCAGTGCGCACTAGTACATGCAACCGAATTCGCTGTTAGTTTACTTCATATTTGTCTCTTCCTAAAGTGACAATTGAAAAGAGACAGAGAACGAATTAAGCTAAGCTTAAAGTTAAACAACGTTGGTGACACCGGACCTTAGGCCCGGTTTCGCCGAACGTAGCTTAACAGCTTTCATCTCGGTTTGATCCGTGTTTGTCTCTTTCTAAAGTAACAGTTGAAAAGAGACAGAGGACGAATTAAGCTAAGCCTAAAGTTAAGCGACGTTGGTGAAACCGGGCCTAAACCTGAATCGATATTTTGCCAAGATTTTGCGCGATTGTACAACGTTGTGCGGGCGATCCTCTATCGAGAGTCGCGAACGCTACGAAATCCGCGGCAACGAAAAACTAAACATCAGTTGATCTCGCCGATAACTTCGTTCAATAGATCTCGTCGAAATATGTCAGGAAAGGAACGCCGCCAAGAGAACACCGTCGCTGCTCTATTGCTCGGTAAGTTTCTCTGTTTTATTTCTAGATTTCACTATTCTCGCAATCCTGAACATGGCTAAAGTAAAAACTGCACTCTCAAATTACCGGTTAGCTTTAATCTCGGTTTAATTCACTTCCATCTTTTTTTCAACTCATATATTTAGAAAAAGAAAAAAAAGAGGCAGACCGAGATTAAAGTTAGTCCGCATTGGTAGAGATGGACAAAAGGGCCTATCGTAAAATCTGAGTAAATTTCGATAAGATCAATTTTGCGATTAGCAGCAGTTGATAAAAAGCTGTTCATTAAATACTCATATCGCAATATCCTCTCGTATATACATATTGTTCTCAAACAGAAAAATTGGCACGAAGAGAGAGAGAGTGAAAGAGAGAGACAGAGATAGAGAGAGAGAGAGAGAAACCAGAGTGTGGCATGCGCATTGAAAGCTTCGTACAATCCCCGCCGAAGTACAATCAATTTTCGCGACACCGAGCATATTTCATGCCGCGCGGCGGCAACTTTCACCAAGGACTGTACCGCGCGAGGAGAAAGAACGCCACCGCTCGAAGTTGTCTCTCTCGGATGACGTTTCGAGCGCCAGACGCCAGTGTGCGTTTCAGTATGGATAGAGTTCAGTAAGGTCACCAGCCTCGTCGGTACGCGGGTTTGCGGCTCTACGTGCGCTCTCGCGTTTCCCCAGGAATTCTTTCGCGAGATCGCGCTCGCGCTCGCTCTCCGTCTTTCTCCTGTCTTTCTCTCTCTCTCTCTGTCTCTCTCCTTCTCGCCACGTCGAATCGCCGCGAACGGTCGGCCGTTCGCTCGCTACGCTGCCATTTCTGACGCGAGTCCGAGCTGTCGTCATCTTCCGCTTCCCACGGACGAGTTCCGGATCGACATTGACGCGGAGTCGCTCCCGCGGCTGCGAGGAACCGACTTCCCCCCCCTCCGAGCAGCGGTCGAGGTACGTACGGACGATCTTATCCCGCCACATTGTCCCCCCGCGGCGGCGCGTCCCGTCCCGTCAGTCCCGACCCGTCCTATCGACGCCGGTTCACCTCGGAGGTTAGGCGCGCGCGCGCGCGTGCGTGTACGCGTGCATTCGTCTCTACCTGCGAATTTCTGCGATACGTTGTCCCCCCAGTCCCTGGCCGTGTGAGATGAGACTCGTCGCCGGGGACCGAGCCGTCGACGTTCGTCAATTCGGGACCGACGTCGCCGCAAGTGGCACGCGCTTGGCGAGAGGACGATGCCTCGTTGACCCCGTCAATCGGACGAGCGGGAGATTATTTCATCCTTAGGACCGCGGCTACGTCAGGTAGAGGACAAACCGACTTATCATTAGCTTCCCGATGATGCCGTTAACCCGTAAAAATGACGGTCGGGCGAGCGTGACTGATCACCCGGCGGCCCTGGAAGCCGTAAGTCCTTGGACACTCGTCGCACTCGCTCGAGTAAGATGCCGGGGGGGAGAAAGAGGGCAGGTTACCGTCGTAACTTGGCCGCGGAAATGGTGACAACCTGTCTGGGACATCATTTGCGCGCGGGAAAGTATGTACGGCCGCGAATTGGAGCGGGATCCCGCCCGCGAGCCCTCGAAATGTTTGTTAATCGTGCGCGCAGTTTGACGCCAGGTCGCGGAGCCTCGACCGCAACTCGTGATTGTACGTTTTGCAGAAGGAGGGGCAGGGGGAGGGGGTGTACCGGTGTGACTAATGTCGCGCGAGATGAGAGAAATAACGTCGGCGTTTTGTGTGAAATTATGCGTATCTTATCTAGTACACGGTGTCTCCTAACCTCTCCTGACCTCTCCTAACACGCCCGGTCGGTAATCTAGGAATCGCGTCGGCGAACATGATCCTCGGAATTGCTCGCTGAATTTATAATCGACACGTATTGCGCGTATAGTAATAAATATCGATGCCGCGCCAACGGCAGTGACGGCCAGTACGCGCCGTCAATTAAAAATGGAATTTTACCGAGCGTCCAATTCTTGGCGTACGCATCGTTTGTGAGTAGCAATTTTAAGAAATTGTTTCGTTGTAGGGACGAGGCGAAGAGGTGAAACCGGCAGGAGGAGTCTTGAGGGATCGCAGGAAGACATTTTCCGGCATTCGCCCCCGAGATGGTCAAGACGACTCGGATGGTAACAACGAGTCTTCTCAAGTGCTGAGGGAGAGTCGATCGTTGCTCGTCGGGCTTTAAAATGCTGGGAAACTGACCTGTGCATGCGATAACGATGGCGGAAAAGATTGCGGAAGGAAGTGCTAGCAAGTCGCCGGAAAAGGCGATGTCCTTGGCGTCAGACGGCTCTTTGGCGGACAATAAGGCGACTCCCTCCGATAAGGAGAATCACGAACGAACGGGCGGCGTCGACAAGTCGTCTACCCCCGTGGAGACTCCAGACGCCGACGTTGAGAAAGAGAAAACCGATGGTACAGGTTCACCTGTTACTAATCCCGAGGCGCAGCAGGACGTTTCGAACACAGACTGTAATGGGGATTTAAAGGGATCAAGTCTCGACGCGACAACGTCTCGTCAGTCGCACTGTACCTCTGAGAGCAAAGACAGCAGTTCCGACGATTCCTCGGGAAAGTCTACCGAAAAAGGCTTTGTCACTAGCTCCGTAAAGAGCGATCTGAACGAGATCTTACAAATCGTTCACGGTGATCTCGCGATGGAGGCCCTGCAGGCCGCCGAGGCTACAAACGTGAAAGCCAGCGACAATGGGAACAATGAGGAAGGGCAGCAAACGGTAAAGAAGAGTGACGACGTTTCGACAGACGATGTACAGACGTGTTCCAACCCCCCGCCTGCGGGGGATGAAAGTGATGTGGGACACGCGTCGGAGAAGACGGAGGAGAAATCCAACTTCGGGATTGTTCGCTCTCCGACCGCGTTTGGCGAGCTTATTATTCAGGAGCAGCTTGACAGCAGCTCTGCACTACCGACCGATCGCGCGGACCACATAGTAGAATGGGTTAAAAATTCGGCCAAGATAAACGAGGAGGAGAGTAACACCGTCGAGGACTGCAAGGAACCGGAAGACGCCACGAAGAGGGAGGCCGAGAAACGGAAGAAGTCGCCTATTTCCGCCTCGGTCGTGTTGCCGAAAAAATCGAAGATTGTCAACAACATCATAAAGAGGAGTATTAAGTGGTGAGTACCGTACGTTTAATTAGTTAAAGAAGCGGTCTTTAGTTTCCACCGTACGTTCCATTTGATTTCAATCAAGAGTAAAACTGAGAAGTCGGCGGAAACTCATCTAATCGCACTTGGTACGCTCTTACCTCGATCTCTTCGTGGAGGTTGCGGTAGTCTAGGGGGTATTGAGGTGGAAACGGTGGGAAACGCGGTAAGAATAAATAATACCATCCTTGTAGCTTAACATTGCGGAAGATCACGTCAATGCACAAGTCAGTACGAAAGTTGGTGGTTCCGAAAAAAAATTTAATTCGTTCCTACCATGTTTCCGGTTTGGAAACCGGTTGCTACGTTTGTTCCGTCCCGTAATAAAGGCCGATTGACAATCGGTCGAAATCGAGAGGCCGAGCAGATAAAAAGTAACAAGATGCCTCTACCAAAAAATCATATGCATTTATACACTTCTTATATAGACGCTTCTTACGTCTCTTATAAAAGAGGACGTTGCTCCACAAAATCACAGCACTATGAAGGGACGAAAATATATCCGTTAGTATTATTAAATTAGTATAATTAAATATCCAGAAGGATTCATTAAACGATCCTTTTAAACTCGCATTTACGATTCGCCGACCTCTTCCTCTCTGAACGTCGCGGGGGATCGCTAGGGTTCGTGTATCTACTTGCGGGACCAAGGGGTCAATTCTGTATCTTACAATATAGTGAGGATGCTGAAAGTAACTTTGTTTCTTTCAAAAGGCCTGTGTCCGCTAGAACTTGGTCCAAGTGGACGAAGACCTCGCGTCCATGTCACACTACGTGTTGCAGATTGAGGATTGCGGATCGCATTTCAGCCAGACGAGACAGCCTCGTATCCGATTGGTTGAATTGCGATCCGCGATCCGCAATACGTAGTGTGACACGGGCTTTAGGGGGACAATTATAAAGAGATGAAGCTACTCACTTTTATGTAGCATTTTCACTATAGCGCAAGAGACAGAATTTACCCTCTGACACACCGTGGCAAGCTCACCATGGGGTGCGCACCGGCACAAGAATTTGGCACGCCAGACAATATCTCAACGGTATAGCAAATATTACTCCGCTTTCTTGTAATCGCTGTTTGATGGTGACCGAGATATTGGCATTATCGGCTGATAAAGCCGGGATAAGTGGCGGGCGCACTGACGGGCGCGCAAACGCACGATAACGACGTCGGGAATCGAGATGGCGGAGGAGAGGTGAGGCGCGCGAAGACGCTGCAGAAAAAAAGGAGCCGGAGGGAGCGAAATATTGACCGTGGAACGATAAGCAAACGGTCGTGTCGATAACAGGATGACTATTTCTGCAACGCGTCCTCTCCTTCGCCAACCTCCGCTTATCTGCGCGATAGTGTGCGTGCGCGCATCTTATTTTTCCGTATTGTATCGTAAATATCTCACCCTTTTTCCCACATCCTTGTCTTCTGTTCAACAACCACCGCACTAAGAGATAGGAAATCGATTGACGTGACTGTATACTATTGGCGACTCGTAAAATTCACTAAGCTTTTTCCTGAAGATTATTTGGAGTTGCGGGCACATCGAGAGCCAAGCAACGCCTCTTACTCTTGTTACACTGTTTTACTGTCTTACCTTCCGTTGCGCGGTTTATATTTCAAACTGTGTTTCATACACGGAGAGAGAATTTTCTCTTATAACTTACCCTAAAAATCGTGTAATCGTGGGACATGGCATTTTGAACAACTATACGAGAGTTTTTTTTTAAGTTCTACTAGTAATTACACTTGGTATACACGTTGCTAGGAAACTGTATGGTAAAATTTCAAAAAACTCTCATAAAAACTTCAGAAAGATTACTTGACCATGTCTGGCAAACTTTTATGTTTAAACTCACAACGTTTCGACCATGGTTTGTGGTCCCCTCATAAGTTCTTCAAAATGCCACGTTGTCCCACGATTACATGAATTTCAGGATAAATTTTGAGAGAACATTTTCTCCGCGTATATAAATTCTGTTACTCTCAGACCCGGCTTTTCATTTTCTGGTTAAATGTTGACCAGAAGTTAGTTGACTCTCCATCTTTTTCTATGTAATTATCTGAGAGAGACGGAGAGTGAACTAATCTCTGGTTAACAATTAACCAGAATGAAAAACTGGGCCTTACTAGTAAAAGTTTCGTAGAGATTTTCATAACCGTAGAAATTTTAAGGCGGATAGCTGATTAGTCAATCGCACCATGCTCGATTTTGGAGCCTGGACTCCTCTTGTATAGAGAGGGTGAAGTTATTCTCGGAGGGGTTACTTTCTTCTGAGAGGTGACGACATGATAATCGACAAGTTCTGTTCAAATTTGATCTTCAGTTCGTTAAAGCAGCTCACAATTAAGCTCCTGGTCCCTGCTGCAGTCGTCCTTGTTCAATGCTAATAACGTCAGAAGAGCTGACACGTTGAGAATTCTTGCGTTATATTTTCAAATGCAAACATATTTGGATGGAAAAACACTTCTGATCGCTTTAAAATTGTCCGTAAATTATCCTTTTCCTTCGATAGTTAATAAACAGCCATCGAATGTATGTGATACGAAGCCAAGACATGCGCTTGCGTATTGCCTGCATGACGAGGCTTCGCATCGCAGTCGTTTTACGGCTGTTTATTAACTATCGCAGGAAACGGGTAGTTTTTGAACAATTTTATAAGTGTGCTAAAGCGATCTGAAGCGTTGTTTCATCCACGTGTCTTTTCATTTGATGAAAATATAATGCAAGAGTTCTCAGTGTGTCATCTCTCGCTTCTGACGTAATTAAACAAGGATAATTGCAGCAGGGACCAGGAGTATTAAAGTAGAAAAATCAAATTACACATCGTATAAATTTGGAAGGTCCACTTGTTGATCCTTTTTTAAAGAAGAATGTTCTACTAATTGGCCACTTGTAATAAATGATAAATGTTAAGGAAGTCAACTTTCGGCAAGGCCAGTAAAAGCATTGTGAATGCGTTTCCCGTTAGAATTCGTTTTCTTTGTTATTTTTGTGATAACTGCTTCAAAAAGATATCGTGACTCTAATCTACATAGTTTAGTATTTTGTGTCTTTACGTCAATCGATTTTCTATCTTTTAATGCGGTGGTTAAATAAAAGACAAGAATGTGGAAAAAGAGAGTGAGATGTTTACGATACAAATACAGAAAAATAAGATGCTATTTTAAGAATTATTACAACTGACAAACTTTCGAAAAGAAAGTTACAGATCTTCTAATTCTCCTAAAACAAAAGAATCGCAATTCTGCTGTAGCGATGATACTTTTTTTTAATTGGTACTGTCGATTTGTCCAATGGAGAACATCCGTTATTGAACGCAAAACTCGTGAAATACGTTCTTCTTTAAAAAAAAGAAAATGTATATTTGGCGCAGAAGCTATCTCGCTCGAACCGGCGGGAAAATAAATAATTTTGTCGGTTACCGTCGCGGTATCAATGCTTCGATGACACGAAGGTTAAGCGGTAACAATATGCTGCTGATGACGCCAAGCGTAACCTCGCGGATGAGCCAGTACTGCGTCCAATGATGTTATCGCCATCAAGACGTACCTCGAACTTTGCGTGTACACGCGGATACGTTCACAAAAGTAAATAAATTGCGCCTGAGCCAATGAGGAGAAGCTCGTGCGTACGCACAGTGCGAGCACAATATTTCCGGGATTAAATTTATCTCTGGTTTCCTCTATAATTACCCATTTTTTGTTATTACATATATATATATATGTATATGTATCTACAGCGATGGCCAGGTCGTTTAACACAAAGTGTGATAAAACATTACGATTATTTATTTTATGATTGGGTGTCGTAAAATACAGATCGTGGTTATGTCAATTGACTGTCTTATCGTTTAGTAGAGTCATTTTCCTATAAACTATAGACGCCAACAATTCGATCACGCGCTATTCATTTCTTTCAACAGGAATTTTGCGTTTCTTTCATTCGTTGTTATCACCGCGCGCGTTGGATACACAATTCTCTCTATAAACATACTCAATATTTATTATTTATTAGCATTATTATCTACTGATTGTCTAATATACATACATATATTTAAAGTTATAGCATAATTATACACACACATATAATTAAAATTCTCTCTATAAACATACTCAATATTTATTATTTATTAGCATTATTATCTACTGATTGTCTAATATACATACATATATTTAAAGTTATAGCATAATTATACACACACATATAATTAAAATTCTCTCTATAAACATACTCAATATTTATTATTTATTAGCATTATTATCTACTGATTGTCTAATATACATACATATATTTAAAGTTATAGCATAATTATACACACACATATAATTAAAATTAAATAGAATGGCTCTCCTCTTCGGCATCGGACGTGTTGCCGTCGGTAAAAGTTTATCGTTGCCTTTTATCGCGTCTCCTTGTGTCATAAATCTGGAATAATCCGCCGATTGAATATCTCGAAAGTTTCAAAAACTTATCTAGAAGCGCTTTATCCGAGAGCATGTAAAGCGCATTCTCGTGATAAACTAAACTCGTTTTTTATATTATATTTACTCTTTTTGTCATATTTACTCTTGTCTCTTACCACATTAAAACGTTCCATAGTTTTTACATGGATAACGTTTTATCAGCTTCGTGGGTAACTTTGTGCCGTTATCCAAGGTGGTTTCTAGAAGAGCCACCATGTCGGAGACGCGATAGACTTTTCGATCGATGGATCAACGCGCGACGAGCGTTTTTCCAAGTGCTTCTCGGAGTGCCATGTAGCCCGAGACTTGAGATAATTATAATACACGATCGACCAATGTATATGCGCGCGCGTGTTTCACGAGAAGGCTATCCAGTTTCCGTGATCCCAGGCCAAGGCTGGTCTCACCCCGCAGCAGCAGCAGCAGCAATAGCAACAGCAGCCGCCGCCGCCGGATGAAAGTGGAGCGGCCGCGACGACGCAAGAGGGGTGTTAATCCCCACGAACGGTAC